CAGACTGCCCAGATTCTTACTACGCTTCCTGGTCATAAAGCTTCTGTCAATTGCACTCATTGGTTACCAAGTTCCAAGTTTGCTTTCAAAGGTACTTACTTGCTTTAGTTTTGAAACTATTGTGTTTATGGGAACTTGTGTGTGTTCGAGATTTAGAGTTTTTAGTATGTTGAATCGCATAGGCATTGCAAAAGAAGAGACTTTTGATGTTTTCTCATTGTGCTCATTTGTCCTGTTTCATCAAGTAGAGAACTTTATAGTCTTAGACTGAAGAATTTGGGTTATAGCTATTATTGTAGACGATTCTTTAGAAAATTTTCAAGGGATTATTCTATTTATAGTATCTACGACCGATTTGCTGGTTTAGTTGCTGTGAAACGTTAAACTTTTCTTAAGCATTTCACAATAAATTCTAGGAGAAAAGCAAAGCATCTAATGGTTAATCCTGCTTTCTATGATTGCTTGCAGCGAAGAATTTGGACCGACATTATCTAGTCTCAGGTGATTCAGATGGTATTATCATCCTCTGGGAACTATCGACTATCAGTAACAATGTAAAAACACTTCAATCTCAGTTTGATTTAAGTTTCTCTACAGTTTCTGTGTTATTCTCATCCTTATTATTTGTCCTGTTTGGTTTAAAACCAGTGGAGACATGTACTACAACTACCACGGTCTCACAAGAAAGGTGTAACTTGCATCACTGCGTATATGGTTTCTGAAACCGATGCAATGTTTGCTTCTGCTTCTTCAGATGGAGTTGTGAATGTCTGGGATGTTTCTTTTCCGTCTCATTCTAGTGGTAAGCATTGTGTTCCACTTCAAACTCCTTGACCTGTAGTTTATTCGATCTGGATAAATCAAAATTTTGTCCTTGTGTTCTTTGTTGCAGACGAATGTAAGGTTTTGCGTCTGGATTCTTTCTCTGCTGATTCTAAAGCAATAGTGACGCTTTCATTAGCGGAACTGCCTCAAAATCCTGGAAGATTTGCTCTTGCAATGGGTGGATTGGACAGTAAAATCAAACTTTACTCTGGAGAAAGAACAGGAAAGGTACTTCAGATCAGACTTTGCCTTTTTTCGCAAAATCAATCTACCCTCGGATTTTGATTTGATGAGTGTGTTTTTCTTGTTCATCTTTTCAGTTTACTTCTGTTTGTGAGCTTAAAGGCCACACGGATTGGATTCGGAGTTTGGACTTCTCATTACCATTACACTCGACAAAAGAAACCGCCGATAGTATTCTGCTTGTGAGTTCTTCCCAGGACAAAGTCATTCGGATCTGGAAATTCGTGTTAGTCGGTGATGTTGGTTCGTGGAGAAGAGAAATCACTCTAGCTTCTTACATTGAAGGCCCGGTTTTCGCCTCAGGGACGCTTACATATCAGATTTCAGTTGAATCAGTTCTAATTGGACATGAAGATTGGGTCTACTCTGTGGAATGGCAGCCTCCAGTCACCAATTTGGTTGACGGGCAATTAACTAACCACCAACCGCTGAGCATTTTATCGGCTTCAATGGACAAAACAATGATGATTTGGCGACCTGAGAAGATAACGGGTGTGTGGGTGAACGTTGTGTGTGTAGGAGAGCTTAGTCATTGTGCTCTTGGTTTCTTCGGTGGCCATTGGAGCCCAGATGCTGTGTCAATTCTGGCTCATGGATATGGTGGATCGTTTTATCTCTGGAGAAATGTTAGTAGCAGCAAAGAGTCTGAGAACTGGCAGATTCAGAAAGTCCCATCGGGTCACTTTGCTGCTGTGACTGATGTCACGTGGGATAAAACTGGCGAGTACTTGCTATCCGTGAGCCACGATCAGGTCAGGATTTAGGGTTTACAGATGTCTAATAGTTTCATTATATCAATTTATGGTTTAGGATTCTTGACATTTTCATTCTGCTTTCGCGATATTGCAGACGACCCGCGTGTTCTCATCATGGAAGAGTGAGGAGGGCGATGAAGCAGAGGATGAACATTGGCATGAGCTGGCTCGTCCTCAGGTTCACGGGCATGACATTAATTGTGTTTCTATGGTTCAAGGTAAAGGCAACCACCGTTTTGTAAGTGGAGCAGAGGAGAAAGTTGTCAGAGTGTTTGAGGCTCCTCTGTCTTTCTTGAAGACACTGAACCACACTCGTGCCGGTAGAGAAGGAAGCTTTCTCGAGGATTTACAAGCAGATGTGCAGGTTCTTGGCGCGAATATGTCTGCTCTTGGTTTATCACAGAAACCTATCTACTTACACTGTGAGTAATTGATTGATTCCACACCATTTCTAGCATTTTACGAAATGCAAACTTGAAATTCATCACTTTTTTTCTCCCCTTTTTACAGCTTCTAGTGAACCATCGGAGAGAAATGGCGGAGGAGAAGGTATGGATACGTTGGAGTCAGTTCCAGAGGCAGCTCCAGCAGAGTTGAAGGAGCCTCCAATCGAAGATCAGCTTGCGTTTCATACTTTATGGCCGGAATCTCATAAACTCTACGGTCATGGTAATGAACTCTTCTCTCTCTGCTGTGACCACATGGGAAACCTTGTTGCTTCGTCGTGTAAGGTAAGCTAATGCGGATTTCAGATTGTGCCTTATTTGATGATTCTCTCGGTTTCAATAATAGACAATCTTATAAAAACAACCACAAACTTTCTTCAGGCTCAATCTGCAGCCATGGCGGAGATATGGCTATGGGAGGTTGGAACATGGAAAGCTGTTGGTCGTTTGCAATCTCACAGCTTGACAGTGACACATTTGGAGTTCTCGTATGATGACACTCTGCTCTTGTCCGTCTCAAGAGACCGCCACTTCTCAGTTTTCTCGATCCAAAGAACTGGTAAACAAACTCATGAACTTGGAAAAGATATCGATTCTTGTTTACTCTCGAATGTCTCTATTGTCCTCTAAGTCTCTCTGTATGCTTGTCTTCCTTATCCAGACAATGGTGAAGTTAGTCACAAACTCATGGCAAAGGTTGAAGCACACAAGAGGATCATATGGGCATGTTCATGGAACCCATTCGGCCACCAATTTGCAACTTCATCAAGGGACAAGACTGTGAAGATCTGGTCCATCGAAAACAACATTCAAGTCAAACAGATTCTTACCTTGCCTCTGTTCGGAAGCAGTGTCACAGCTGTGGCTTGGACGGGACTAGACCACAAGGAGAAAAACGGGTGCGTGGCGGTTGGGATGGAAAGCGGACTGATAGAACTGTGGAAGATAAATATTGTAGAAACAGAGGAAGGTACAACTGCAACAGCAGCTCTTGCTCTGAGGCTTGAACCATTCATGTGTCATGTCTCGGCCGTGAACCGGCTAGCTTGGAGACCAACCGAGAAGTCCGAGTCTAACCAGAGCTTGCTTAGGTTAACTTCTTGTGGAGATGATAATTGTGTGAGAGTTTTTGACTTCAAGTTTTGATGAACATAAAGCACCTTGTAATGTGTTAAGATCAGGACCAAAACTCTCTTTCCCTATATAGGATCAGTGTGCTGTTTATGCAAATTTTGGTAGCTAAGTTGAAACATGTTATCAAAATCACTTCTTTGTTCACTACAGAGAAGGAAATTTGGTTTGGTTTTTGATTTTTAAATGTCGGTTCGGGTTTTATATTCAATTTGGTTAGTCGGTTATTCCGTTAAGCCTAGAACCTTCTGGTTGAGTCGGTTTCTTTAGCAGATTTTCCATTTGTTTTCCTATTTCCTTTTAATATTCTAATCAAAGACTATATATAAGGAGCGTGTCTTTGTCCTCGTTGTAATTCAATTCTTGCTCTCTCGCAAACCCTAATTGCTCTGCTAAACTTTCCTCAAAACTTGTCTCTCAAGTCTCAAAGGTATATGTTTTCCAGAGATTTCTGTTCGATCTTTTGTTCTTGTTGTTAGAATTGTATGCTTTTTAGATATACTCTTGAGTCAGAATCTTTCTTGCGTTTTTTGCGGTTGGATAAGACTTGTTCAGAGTTGATTTCGTGAAGGTGGTTGCTTTCAAGGTCTATTTATTGTGTCCAATAGACTGATCTTATTGCGGT